AAGCTAGTCTGGGCAATATAGTGAGACTTTGTCTCTACAAAAAAATTTAAAAATTTGCCAGGTGTGGGCTGGGCCTGGTGGCTCATGCCTGTAATCCCAGCACTTTGGGAGGCCAAGGTGGGTGGATCACGGGGTCAAGAGTTCAATACCAGCCTGACCAACATGGTAAAACCTCGTCTCTACTAAAAATACAAAAATTAGCTGGGTGTGGTGGTAGACACCTATAATCCCAGCTCCTCGGGAGGCTGAGGCAGAGAATTGCTTCAACTTGGGAGGTGGAGGTTGCAGTAAGCCAAGATCATGCCACTGCACTCCAGCCTGGGTGACATAGCGAGACTCTGTCTCAAAAAAAGAAAAAATAGGTGTGATGACATGCATTTGTAGTCCCAGCTACTTGTGAGGCTGAAATGAAAGGGTTGCTTGAGCCCAGAAGGTTGAGGCTGCAGTAAGCCATGATCATGCCACTGTACTCTAGCCTGGGTGACAGTGAGCTATGATCATGCCACTGTACTCTAGCCTGGGTGACAGACTGAAACTCTATCTCAAAAGAAAAAAAAAAAGCTAAACAAAATAAATGTGTATGTGTGTGTGCGTTTGTGTATTTGAAGTCACTAGAGAACTACCAAAGCAACAAGGACCTGAGGGGTCAAGATTCCAGAGGGATAATAAGCCCCATATTTGCTTGCTACTTTCCTGCACAAGGCATGTGCACTTTCTCAAGAAAAGGCTAAGAAACTGAACAGGGAATCTGGTAGTGTTATGAGGATGGGGAATAGAATAAAAATTGAATTTCAGAGTCTACCAAGAAGGAGTGTCCCTAATAAACGTTTCAGGTCTTCTTTATTTGTTTGAGTTAGAGTCTTGTTGTTTCACCCAGCCTGGAGTGCAATGGTACAATCTCAGCTCACTGCAACCTCCACCTCCCAGGTTCAAGTGATTCTCCTGCCTTAGCCTCCTGAGTAGCTGGGATTACAGGCACCCATCACCATGCCTGGCTAATTTTTGTATTTTTAGTAGAGACAGGGGTATCACCATGGTCTCAAACTCCTGACCTCAAATCATCCGCCCACCTTGGCCTTCCACAGTGCGGGATTACAGGTGTGGGCCATAGCACCCAGCCAACATTTCAAGTCTTCAGCTGAAGCCACCTAGGAGTAGAGGTGAATTAGAATTAGACCAGTCCTGACAAAACTGAAGTCCAGCACCCAATCAGTTCGACTCCTTATAGGACTTAGGTGTAAATACCTAGTAGAAGCAAAAGTAAAAATATTTCTGAAGAAAGATGATACCATCCAGGGCCTCAGATTTTCCCATAATTTTTTCATACACAATACTTGGTATTCGATCAAAATTTACCTGACATTTCAGTAGACAAAACCAAATGGCTGAAAACCAAGATAAAAAAGTAGACAGGCTGGGTGCGGTGGCTAATGCCTGTAATCCCAGTACTTTGGGAGGCAAAGGTGGGCAGATCACGAGGTCAGAAGTTTGAGACCAGCCTGGCCAACATGGTGAAACCCCATCTCTACTAAAGAAAGAGAAAATTAGCCAGGCGTGGTGGCATTCACCTGTAATCCCAGCTACTTGGGAGGCCGACGCAGGAGAATCTCTTGAACTCAGGAATCAGAGGTTGTAGTGAGCTGAGATCGCACCATTGCACTCCAGGCTGGGTGACAGGGTGAGACTCTGTCTCAAAAAAAAAAGTAGACAATAGCAATAGGCCCATAGGAGATCCAGATTTTTGCATTTTGAGGCATGGACTTTAAAAGATATGTGATTAATATAGTCAAGAAATTATATGACAAGATGGAGAATTTCTGCAAAGAAGTATAATCTGTCAAGGAGAATCAAATGGAAATTTAAGCCTCAAATATAGTATCAAAAATTAAGAACTCAATAGATGGATATAACAGCACATTAACACAGCTGAAAATAAAAATTAGTGAACCAAAAAGTCAGTAGAAAGTTGTATTAGTCTGTTCTTATGCTACTATGAAAAAATAACTGAGACTGGGTAATTTATAAAGAAAAGAGATTCAATTGACTCACAGTTTCACATGGCTGGGAAGGCCTCAGGAAACTTGCAATCATAGCAGAAGGCACCTCTGCACAGGGTGGCAGTAGAGAATGAGAGGTAACAGGAGAAATGCCAGATGCTTTTAAAACCATCAGATCTTGTGAGATTCACTCATTATCACAAGAACAGCATGGGGGAAATCGCTTCCGTGATTCAGTTCCTTCTACCTGGTCTGCCCTTGACATGTGGGGATTATTACAATTCAAGGTGAGATTTGGGTGGGGAAACAGAGCCAAATCATATCAAAAGCAGTCAGACTGCAGCACATATAATACAGATTTTATATGGAATGTGGTAAAAATTTCCACATATGAATAATTAAAGCCCCATAGGAAGAGAGGGAGGGGAGGGGAAAAGAGATGAGAGAAGAGAAGCAATGCAAAGAGAAATGAAGCCAGAAGCAATATTTGATGATGGTCAATAATTAAGAATCATTCACAACCCTAAGCAGAATAAATCAAAATAAAACAGAACTAGGGCCTATTATGATATAACTGCTGATAGTAAAAGACAAAGGGAAATTTTTTAAGGGAGCAATAATAAAATTGATATAGCTTCTCCAAAGAAATAATGAAAGCCAGAAGACAATGGAATATGTTTGAAGTAATAGATGAAAACAAATCATATCCCATTAGAACTAGAGAGTAGAATGGTTGTTACCTAGGTCTAGGGTAGTTGTGGGGGAAGGGAGAATTGGGTGATACTGATTAAAGGATATAAAATTTCAGTTAGATGGGAGGAATAAGTTCAAGGACTCTATCATACAACATGGTGACTAAAGTTAACAACAATATATTGTATTCTTGAAAAATGCCAAGAGTGAATGCTGTGTTCTCACAAAAATAATGACTATGTGAGGTAATGTTAATTAGATTTAGTTATTCCACAATGTATATATATCTTAAAACATCATGCTGTACATGATAAATATATACAACTTTATCTGTAAAATTTTAAAAATGATAATAAGCTGGGCACAGTGGCTCATGCCTGTAATCTCAGCACTTTGGGAGGCCGAGGTGGGTGGATGACCTGAGGTCAGGAGTTTGAGACCAGCCTGGCCAACATGGTGAAACCCCATCTCTACTACAAATTAAAAAAATTAGCTGGGTGTGGTGGCAGGCGCCTGTAATCCTAGCTACTTGGGAGGCTGAGGCAGGAGAATTGCTTGAACCCAGGACAGATGTTGCAGTGAGCCGATATTGCACCACTGTACTCCAGCCTGGGCAACTGAATGAAACTCCATCTCAGAAAAAAATAAAAGTGGCCGGGCGCAGTGGCTTACGCCTGTAATCCCAGCACTTTGGGAGGCCGAGGAGGGTGGATCACGAGGTCAAGAGATTGAGACCATCCTGGTCAACATGGTGAAACCCCGTCTCTACTAAAAATACAAAAAATTAGCTGGGCATGGTGGCGCGTGCCTGTAATCCCAGCTACTCAGGAGGCTGAGGCAGGAGAATTGCTTGAACCCAGAAGGCGGAGGTTGTGATGAGCCGAGATCGCGCCATTGCACTCCAGCCTGGGTAACAAGAGCAAAACTCCGTCTCCAGTAAATAAATAAATAAAAGAAAAAAAAATTAGCAGGGTGTGCCTGTAATCTCAACTACTCGGGTGGCTGGCTGAGGCACAAGGATCACTGGAGCCCAGGAGGCAGAGCTTGCAGTGAGCCAAGATCATGCCACAGCACTTCAGTCTGGGCGACAGAGCCAGATCCTAAAATAAATAAATTAGATAATAAATAAATCTTGCCTGTAATCTCAGAACTTTAGGAGGCCAAGGTGGGCAGATCACTTGAGGTCAGGAGTTTGAGACCAGCGTTATCAACATGACAAAACCCTGTCTCTGCTAATAATAGAAAAATTAGCCAGGCATGGTCCTGTGTATTTGCAATCTCAGCTACTCAGGAGGCTGCAGCAGGAGAATCGCTCAAATCCCAGCGGTGGACGTTGCAGTGAGCTGAGATCATGCCACTGCCTAGGCAACAGAGTGAAACTGTATCTTGAAAGAAAAGAAAAGAAAAGAATTCTTGTGTGAGCTTAAGCTAATGGCTCTCAAGATGTAATATAAGTATGAATCACTTGGCAGGGGATGTAAAAATTTTGGATTCCCAGATCCAACTCTGTATATTTAGATTTAGCCCCTTTGGCATAGGGCCAAGGAACCTTCTTTCTACAAGCAGCCTGAGGATTCTGATGCAGTCAGTCTACAGCAGATTGTTTGCCATGATGACTGCAACAGTTCCTCCCATTCCTGTACCCACACCCCTTTGCAATGGGACTTTGCCACTCTTTCAATCAAGACGTAGAGTCCATTTTTCCTCCTTTTGAATTTTGGCTTATCCTTTGGCTTACTTTGACCAATAGAGATCAGTTTACATGATATTATGGGGCATCTGAGCCTTGGTCTTCAAGAGGCCTTGTGTTTTCAGTATTCACCCTTTTGGAACTCAGCTGCCATGTAATTAAGTTGAGCCTATCCTTCTGGAGAAATGGTGAGAGATGCAGAGCTAACAGCCAGCACCAACCACCAGACACAGTATATGAGTGAGGCATGGATCTGTTCGGGTTCAACCAGGAGAGAAAAAGCACATAGTACTTTGAATATGGAAAGCTGAATATGAAGAATTATTAATCATAATAGAGGATGAGAGTAACAAGGGATTGACTAATAGGAAGAAAAGACAACGCTGAAGACTATAGAACAGTAGATACGAGGAACAGCCACAATCTTTAGGGCTGACAATGGAGCACCCAAGGAAGAGCTACCTCAGGGCTGAGATCCAGGTCTTTTTTGAAAGGGCCCACTACATGGTAGAGAAGTCACTGTGGTGCTCTGCTAGGTCAGTGGAACTGGTAGAAATCATCTGCTGAAACTTGCTGGAAATGGGCCTTCTCAGGTGTCAGGGAAAGTTTTTCCTAGGGAAATGGCTCATTATGGACACTTGCTACACAGGCACTTGAGAGAGATTCTTGGGGAAGCTTCTGGCTACCAGATGCTGCTGGCCATGGTGACTTGCAGGAGCCTGAAGCTGAAGAAGTCATTCATGCTGCAAAAGTTGGGCATGGGGAAAGTACAGCATTGCAGGAGCCTGGTGAACCAGCACACAGTAACCAGGAAGCAAAACTCTTTTCTTCCTTTCAGGCGAACTGCCACCTTCCAATAATGCACCAAAATGACTAACACAAAGGGAAAGAGAAGCACCCGATGTATGTTCTCTAGGGCTTTTAGGAAACTTGGAGTTGTTCCTTTGGCCACATACATGCAAACCTGTAAGATGATATTGTAGACATCAAGAGAATGGATACTGTTTAAAAAGGAATACCCCGCAAATGTTACCATGGCAAAACTGGAAGAATCTACAGTGTTACCTAGCATGCTATTGGCCTTGTAAACAAACAAGAGCGAGATTCTTGCCCAGAGAATTAATCTGTGTACAGAGCACATTAAGCCTCCTAAGAGCTGAGATGGCTTCCTGAAAAGTGTGAAGGAAAATGATCAGAAAAAGAATAAAGCCAAAAAGAAAGGTATCTGGGTTCAGCTGAAGCACCAGCCACTCCACCCAGAGAAACACACTTTGTGAGAACCAATGGAAAGGAGCCTGAACTGCTGGAATCTATTCCCTATGAATTCATGGCATAATAGGCATTTTAAAAAAACAAAAACTTCTAGACTGTAAAAAGCAAACAGACAGGCTGGGTGCAGTGGCTCACGCCTGTAATCCCAGCACTTTGGGAAGCCGAGGCGGGTGAATCACGAGGTCAAGAGATCAAGACCATCCTAGCCAACATGGTGAAACCCCGTCTCAACTAAAAATACAAAAATTAGCTGGGCCTGGTGTTGTGTGCCTATAGTCCCAGCTACTCAGGAGGCTGAGGCAGAAGAATTGCTTGAACCCAGGAGGCACAGGTTGCAGTAAGTCAAGATGGCACCACTGCACTGCAGCCTGGCAACAGAGCAAGATTCCATCTCAAAAAAAAAAAAAAGCAAACAGACAAATACTTAAATATCTCCCCAGCACACTATCCTGACAAAGCTGGGCATCCAGCCACCTGACAAAGGAAAAAGGCATTTCAGGGGCCCAGATCCATTTTAATAGAGCAGGCAAAAAAGTAAACTTGCAGCTAAGGCAGTAAATCAATAACCAGCACAGGTCATCTTGGGCCTCTAACCTAAGTCAATCTGCATGACTTCAACTGCATGAGTGACTTTAGAGGAGACTGGCAGAAAGAACTGTGTAGATTCACCCAGCCGAAATTGCCGCAGCTCAGAATTATGAGCCATTAAATTGCTCATAAATTTTAAGACCTAAATTTTGGGTTAGTTTGCTTATGCAAAATGTTATAACACCAATATTGCAAGCAACCTGGACTGTTGTCTGCTTCTGACTTTTATGACTTTCTTTGTTCTATTCCTTCTGTCCAAAGAAACATTCTTGATTATCTCTACCAGATGGATGTATTTTCCTGCAACTAATTAATTAACTTTCTTGGACCTATAGCACACATGTAGAAAAGTGCACAAATCATAAATGCATAGCTCAATAAATTTTCATTTTCACCAAATTCTTATATTCTTTTTTTTTGAGATGGAGTCTTGCTCTGGTTGCCCAGGCTGGGGTACAATAGTGTGATCTCGGCTCACTGCAACCTCCATCTCCTGGGTTCAAATGATTCTCCTGCCTCAGCCTCCCAAGTAGTTGGGATTACAGACGTGCACCACCACGTCCGGCTAATTTTTTGTATCTTTAGTAGAGACGCAATTTCACTATGTTGGCCAGGCTGTTCTCGAACTCCTGACCTTGTGATCTGCCTGACTCGGCCTCCCAAAGTGCTGGGATTATAGGCATGAGCCAATGCATAAGCCAAGTGCTTTTATTCTTATAGTCTATAGCTGAGTACCTCTCATACTCCTATCTAGTGGGTAAGCACCATTCTGTCTTCCTTTTTTTTTTTTTTTTTTTTGAGACAGAGTCACACTTAATAGCCCAAGCTGGAGTGCAGTGGCATGATCTCAGCTTATTGCAACCTCTGCCCTCTGCCACCCCAGGTTCAAGTGCACCACCACACCCAGCTAATTTTTGTATTTTTAGTGGAGACGGGTTTTACCATGTTGGCCACGCTTGTCTGGAAACCTTGACCTCAAGTGATCTGCCTGCCTCCCAAAGTACTGGGATTACAAGCATGAGCCACCATGCCCCGCCCATTCTGACTTCTTATACTGTACGTTTGTTTTGTCTGGTTTTGCACTTCACACACAACATGTTCTCTTTTGTGTCTGGCTTCTTTTTTTTTTTTTTTGAGATGGAGTCTCGATCTGTTGCCAGGCACCAGGCTGGAGTGCAATGGCGCGATCTCAGCTCACTGCAACCTCCGCCTCCTGGGTTCAAGCAGTTCTCCTGCCTCAGCCTCCCTAGTAGCTGGGACTACAGGCGCACGCCACCATACCCAGCTGATTTTTGTATTTTTAGTAGAGATGGGATTTTACCATGTTGGCCAGGATGGTCTCGATCTCTTGACCTCGTGATCCGCCCGCCTCGACCTCCCACAGTGTTGGGATTACAGGCATAAGCAAGCATGCTGGCTCATCTTTCTTGAATGAGCTATTTTAAATGCCTCTACCAATGATTTACTGAATGACAGTGGGCCTGTTGCTTAACCTCTTTCAGCATCAGGTGTTTTCAAGTAGAAAATAGAGACAGCAATCTAGCTTCAGATTCTTGCCTGTCTTAGTGGCAGGTTGGAGTGCTCTTTTGAGAAATATAAGCTGCTAATGAAATGCCTATGGTTGCAGGGAAAGAATCAGGGATTTTGAAAGCACCTTCTCTAAGCAATGTACTGTGCTCCTGCTGGAATGTGTTTTTGCTCTAGGGGGTGCACAAATAGAGGAAGGCATTGGCTGCCTACAGCAATACGGTTATGCTAAGGCTACCTGGAGGAAGTGACATTTGAACAGAACTTTAAAGATCAATAGGATTAAATGTTTCTTTTGATTATAAAAGTTACACATGGTCATTACATAATTATTGAGAGAGAAGACTGTCAAGAAGAAAAATCTCATTCTTATTTCCTTTGCTCATCAACTGTATCAACTTTTTTCTCTTCTAATACCCTTTTACTCTATGCAAGGGTGTATGTCTTTTCTTCTCCTTTCACATGGTTATGATTGATAGGCATATCATTTTATATTTTGATGTTTAAAAACTTTTAATAGGCCAGGCATAGTGGCTCACGCCTGTAATCCCAGCACTTTGGAAGGCCGAGGTGGGTGGATCACCTGAGGTCTGAAACTCCTGTTTCAGACCAGAAAGGCCAACATGGTGAAACTCCATCTCTACTAAAAATACAAAAAATTAGCCAGGCATAGTGGTGGGTACCTGTAATCCCAGCTACTCCAGAGGCTGGAGAATCGCTTGAACCCAGGGGGGTGGAGGCTGCAGTGAGCCAGGATAATGCCACTGCCCTCCAGCCTGGGCGATAGAGCAAGACTCCATCTCAAAAAAAAAAAAAAAAAACCCTTTTAATATACTATGAGGATAACACATAACCTAGTAATTCTATTCCCAGAATAACCAACAGAAATGTATGCATATGTTTACCAAAAGACATGTACAAGCAGCACTTTTCATAAAAACCCCAAACTGGAAACAACCTGAATATACATCAATAGAATGAACAAATAAATTATGGTATATTAACAAAATAGAAAACTATGCAGCAATAAAAATAAACCATAGCTACATGGAGGAACACAGATGAATCTCACGATGTTGAGCAAAAGAAGCCAGACACAGGCCGGGCATGGTGGCTCACACCTGTAATCCCAGCACTTTGGGAGTTCGAGGCGGGTAAATCATAAGGTCAAGAGATTGAGACCATCCTGGCCTACATGGTGAAACCTGTCTCTACTAAAAATACAAAAATTAGTCGGGCGTGGTAGTATGTGCTTGTAGCTGAGCTTGGGAAGCTGAGGCAGGAGAATCGCTTGAACCCAGGAGGTGGAGGTTGCTGTGAGCCAAGATGGTGCCACTGCACTCCGGTCTGGGGGACATAGCAACAACTCTAGCTCAAAAAAAAAAAGGTGATTCTGGTGCAAACCATGTAATTTACCAAGTATAGCCTGAACAGAGCAAAGAAGCAGGGATGGAGATTAAGGAGAAAACACAAATTTGGTAATGTGGCCTTTGCATCAACAGCTGTGTAATTTTGAGTGAGCTTATTTACCTTTCCACACTTCAGTCTTCATCTGTCTCATTGGAGGGATAACAGCGAACTAATATCCAGAAAAGCAAATAGGATCCAACTCTGATGAACTAGTGGTGGCTACCTAGAATATAACAGGGGGAAAGATTCTGAAGACACATGCAGCCTTTGTGGGAAAAAGTGCTATGATTAATAATTTCTGGGCTGGGTGCAGTGTCTCACGCCTGTAATCCCAACAGCACTTTGGGAGACCAAGGTGGGTGGACTATGAGGTCAGGAGTTTGAGACCAACCTGGCCAGTATGGTGAAACCCTGTCTCTACTAAAAATACAAAAAATTAGCTGGGCATGGTGGTGTGCACCTGTAATCCCAGCTGCTTGGGAGGCTGAGGTAGGAGAATTGTTTGAACCTGGGAGGCGGGTTCAAGCCAAGAGCCATGATTGCGCCACTGCACTCCAGCCTGGGTGACAGAGCAAGACTTTGTCTCAAAAAATAGATAAATAAGTAAAAATTTCTGCCATGAGCAGGAAATCTGAAATGGATGTTTTGTTTGTTAGGTATTGGTCTTTCCTGGACAAATTGCTCTTTAAGATTCTTTCCAGCCCTATGTTTGGGATTCCCAGATTTAGATCTATTCATGTAGGCAAAATACTCATCCTATAGGAAATCTTTTTAATTCCAAAGGGAAGAAATTTTAATTATCTTTTAAAACAATAGACCTTGTCTTCAGCAATGGATGTGATATATACTTAAATAATCATGCTTAAGACTCTCAGAGCTCCTTAGAGATAGAAATGTCTGCATATGAAGTGTTAATTATACCACCATAATCATTCGTCTGAGATACATTATATT